CGAACTCACAGAGATCCACCTGGCTCTGCCTCCCGAGTGCTGGGATTAAAGGCGTGCGCCACCACCGCCCGGCCTACTTTTTATACTTTGACAATTTGAAAGAAAATATAATCTCATTATTGTTTAAATTCTCATTTTTGGAAAGTTGAGATTATCTATATGTTTACTTCAAACTTTTGCAATAGTGAGCCAACCCTCCAAGGAATACAGCACAGCTTTGTATTTATGAATTCCTCCTTTATGTCTTTCAGGAAGATTATATTATTTTCCTAACAGATGTTATACAAGTTCTGTTATTAAATTTCTAACTAAATTGAAACTTTTAGTATATTTTCAAGTGATTCTACTAATGTAAATGAATTCTCCCCTGACTTCATTTGTTGTCTAGCTAACACCTTGCCTGGTTCTATTATTTTTTATAAAGTTTAGTTGGTTGGCACTGCTACCTTGCTCTGTTTATAGGGAGACTGTCATAATATTGCAGACCATACGTTTGGTCTTTTATTGTCCAATAATACAATAACAATATTCATCATCCCATTCTAATTTCAGAACACAGTGAGGAAGCCTTCAGCTTTGCACTGCCTACAAGAATGCTTTGCTTTTATCAATTGCTTTGGTCTTCAACCACTTTGAGAATCTAATTATAGACCTTCTTTTTCCTCTCTCCAAGTGCCCGGGCTACATAAGCAAGCAAATTCTTCACATGTTTTTAAGTTGATCGAACACACACAACACCAGGACCGTTTCAACTGATACAACCGAAGCTGCCTCAACAAGACTGGGCCAAAAGGAAAACTTCCAAGTGGGTGAAGGGTGTCGACTTAATGCAGCAAGCATTTGTTGATCTTTCTCTCTCTCTCTCTCTCTCTTTCTCTCTCATTAGGGGTTCCAGTTACTCAACAGAAGGATTAGCTTTCCGGTGCAATTAAAAACAGACACTCTGCAAGGAACCAGCTTGTACACTTTCCTCAAATTACCCTCAGTCTATCCAGAAAAAGAGGCCGCTAAAGTAAACACACAACACGAAAGTGATATTAAATATGCCTGTGTTCTGGACGAGAGCATACCTGGAAACTGTTTCATCCACGATGGGGTGTTTTGCCGAGCATGTGAGTGAAATTCTGGAGTGAGATTTTAAAAGGTGGTATTAAAAGATGGCATTGAAGGGGCATAAACAATGACAGCAGAAGCTTTGTCCTGCCTGGTATAGTTGAAGAATGATGGGCTGTCCCCTGTGTTCGGAACATGGAAAAACTGAAAAGATTTTCATTGCCCTGTCTGAAGCGGCTTTGTTTTTCTGATAGCCTTGGCCAAAAAAACATAATGTCATACATCTTGCAAAATAGAGATTCCTCAGAAGCCTTGCACAAATTGCATAACTTCGAGTATTTTGTTTCAGAGTGGAAGCCTCATGGTCTCAGCCTTACCACCCCGACCGAGCTTACCCACTTAGTGCTTTTGTTTCTTCTTTGCTTATTTAAAAGATCTAGAATACTGTGACTACACTCTGCTGAGATCGCCTCCGGGCTTTCTTTGTCTGGTATCAATCTCGAGGCTTCTGGCTGCATGCATTGTGGAAATGGTTAGCAGTTGCTAGAAATTTAGTGTGAAAAAGCCAGCTTTGGGGAGATTAACCAGAAATACCGATTATGTACTTTATACCCATGCAAAGGGAAAACGGTGTCTCTTAGGACTATTTCCTCACCTCCTGTTTATCTCAGTTAACTCCCCGGGATGTGTCTGCCCGTGGACAGCACGTCTCTTTCCTTGCTGCTTCCACACTGTATTCTTTGTCTTGTCTTGGAGTCCTGGGTCTCCTTGTAATTGTCTCTGGGATTCTTCTCTTTTCCACTATTTCTAAGGCAAGTACAGCACTCATTATCAGACAAGTTTATACACTGAAAAACTACTGTGTTAGGCAGAGTTTTCTAGAGGACTAGAACCAGCTGCACATGGGCCCCCATATGTGTATGGTGTGTGTGTGCGCGCGCGCGCGCGCGTGTGCGTGTGTGTGTGTGTGTGTGTGTGTGTGTGTGTGTGTGTGTGTTGTGTATGTAAACATACATACATACACATATATGTAGAGAGAGTAGACTTATTACATTGCCTTATACAGTGAAGGTTGTGGAGTCCAACCACAGCCCATGCTGCCTGCCCAGTAGAGGGGCAGAGAATCAGTCACTGAGCAAAGCTGGGTGCCCTGGCACCCTGAATCAGTGCTGGTGGCCTGCACGGTCCCTGAAGAGCCCTGGTGTTCAAAGGCTGGAGAAGCTGACGTCCATGAGGAATGGCAGCACTGGGGGCAGACACACTGGTCAGGAAAAAGGGAAAGCAGACGGGTATTACTGACGCTGCTTTGCCCTTGACCTCTCCTTGGAAGGCATTACACACTCCCCAGGGTGGGTCTTCCACACAGCTCAGTCAACCCTTTTTGAAAATGTCCCCACAGGCACACCCATTATTGAGTCTTTTATATCAATTATAAATTCCATAAGTTGACCATTAAAACTAATCATTATATCTGCCATCACACACACACATACTACATATATGTGTGTGTGTATAATCATACATATACATTATATACATGTATATGATCTACATATCATATATATATATATATATATATATATATAGTGTGTATTTCCTATGTACATACTATACGTGACCTTTTTACCCACAAAGTTTACTCTTGAGAACTGCGCGATTTAGTTGCAAAAAAAATTTCACAAGAAAATCTAATATTTTAGGTAAGTTTACAATGTTGTGATGGATTGCATTCACTGCTATGCCGGGGTACACGGGGTCCTTGTGCAGCATGTTGGACATAAAGACTACCCCAGTCCTTTAAAAAATGCTTACACTTGAATACTGCCCAACTCACTGTGTTTATTCGGGTTTTCCCTTTCTTCTTAGTTCCTTAGATTTATTTATACCCTTAAATTGGTGTTGTTTTAATAAGCGCCTCGTTAACAGCTGTCAAATTATTCCTAAATGCAGCTACTTTCCGTTTTGTTATTATTGTAGTAATATACTCGAAGTGTATTGGTATTACATTATTTACAGATGATCCTAAGACAAGCTGTTATTAATCACATAATTATAGTGTATACAATAGAAATTTTATTCTCAGAAAATTCTAAGCAGTATAAGGACCCTGGAGAATGTGTGTACATGCATGTGTGTGCACATACATGCAGAGGCCGGGGGTTGACATTAAATGTCTTCCTCAATTGCCTCTAACTTGCTTTTTGAGATAGAGCTTCCCACTCACTTGAAGCTCAATGAGTATAGGTAAGGCTGATTAGCCAGACAGATGGCCAGGGATCCATCTGTCTCCACCTTCTCAACACTGGGATGAGAGCCACGTGCTCTTATGCCCAGCTTCTCAGGTAGGTATTGGTGACCAGGTCTTCATCCTTACCACAACAAGCACTTTTCCAAATGAGCCATCTCCCTGGCTCCTCTCTGTAGAATTCTGAGAGACAAGAAGCCATCATGAAGTTTTTCTTCTTTCAAGACCTTGCTCATCTTAGCCCAACTGCTCAGCGACTCCTGGTTGACTAAAGTGGCAGCCAGACTCTAGACACAGGACAGTGGAGTCTTCCTTGTGGGTGTGTTGACTTCATCACATTCCCTCCCTCTCGGTGTCCTTGTGGATTCTGAACTGCACTGAACTGACTTCCAGTTAAAGGACATTGCTTTAAAGACAGTATGTCTGCCTAAACCAAAATGCCATACTTACGCTTTAAAACAATTTACATCATTAAAATGAGTAGTAGGTCAGAAGCAATTTTCCAAATCACAGTTGATATTATGACCACAAATAGCACAAATTTACTTCCATGCGAAAGCTCTTCAATCTTAAGCTAAAAACAAAAAGCCTTCAATTCTATTTTTGGCTTGGCACTGACTTCCTGCTCCCAGTAGCTCTCGAATTTGTGAATCCCACAAGCTAGAGAAAAATAAAACTGTTGTATCACTGGGACCAAATACCTTAGGAATTAATGAATTCATAATTTATACACAGCCTCAAAACACACCACAAGGATATAAAATAACTAATGATGCCGTAAGTAGCAGACCTATTTGTTTTGTGAGGTACATGGCATTTTGATCCTATAACTTCTGCCCTAACATGTGGTAACATTTAACTAATATTCCTAATAATATTTATAAGTGGATAGAGGATTAGCTTATTTATATAATCCATGAAGTTTATTTTGATGATCTCTTTTTCATGTTCTGCGAAATGGATTGCATTAGGAGGCTGAGAAAGTGCCATAGGGGACATTTCTTTAACATTTCATTGAAGCTGATCTGGCTGAACTGTGAGGATGAGAGGCACACAGCCGGCGTCTCCCTTGGGAGGGCGACTCTGCGTTTCTGACTGGCTAGCCAAATTGTTGTGTAATCCACAGAAAGATGGCAAAGGGCAGAGGAAGCCTGCTCTGCGTTGACTGTTTCTCATTTGCAGCTTTTGAAAAGAGGTGACTGCTACAATGAAAGACAAAGCAGGAACGGGGGTCTCTCTCCCTCACTGGCCAAACCCATTGTGCTCAGAGTGTGTGCTAGAGAACCGTGTGATTCCCACCAAGCACACTAAACAGATCCGGTGAAATTTTCACCTTATCCGTGATTTAAATGGGTGACTATAAGAAAGAACACTGAGGGCTGTCTGCTCTCAAGGCTGGCATCAACTCTTTTAACACATCACTGAGTATGTATTTCCCAACCCCCATGTCCTCCTCCACAATGCACCCTCAACCTCTAACTACACTACCCACCAACTCACAAGGCATAGAATCATACAACTGCTCAATAGCATTGATCCAACAAGCTAAAGAGATGAAAATACTGGGAAGGTTGAAGAGGAATCACTTAAAATAGTTTTAAAAGAAATATAATTTCACATATACATTCCTTGGGCATCTTTTCAAAGCCATAAATGACATCTACTTGAAAGAAGAAACAAAATACTTTGTGTAACACGTGAGTCTGCCAGAGCCATTGTATAAGGTCTTAACTTTAAAGTGCAGCCAAAGCTCATTGGTGACTTAGTGAATGAGCTTCCTGCATGGGATATTTGTTAAGAAGCCCATATGTGCCTTACATATCAGAAAGCCTTAGAATTTTAGGGTGAAGAGTTTTCTTATAGAAAAGAGTGGATGCTATATTGAAATGTAGCAGGAATCTTAAAAAGTCTTATTAATAAAAACAAATCTGAATCCAGGTACTGGGGTCAACGCTGGAAGATCAGAGAAACAGAACAAGCCACAGCCACCTCACCTCACTAATTCCTCAGCTGATCCTGTTTCCTCAGACTGGAAGCCTCTGAGTCCTCATACGAATGGATCTCAGCTGAACTGCTGCTCAAAAGCCTGAAAGCTTAACCAGGCCTAGTTATGGTGGTATTTTATTTGTACTGAAATGTGATTTTCATTGTATGTTAATAAATAAAGTTGCCCGGGGGTCAGAGCTATTACAGCCATAGCAAGAGCATGGTGGCGGCGGCGCATGCCTTTAATCCCAGCACTTGGTAGAAGAGCTAGGTAGATCTCTGTGTGTTCAGGGATACAGCCAGCATTGGAGACATACGCCTTTAAGACCTAGAGGGCTGTACTTACAGGCAGTGACGAGGCAGTCATGTGTTTAGGTTTACAACCAATGAGAAGGCGGAACAGAAAGACTATTTAAAGACATACACACAGGAAGTAGCTCTCTTTCGGGAAGCTGGGACACCGCAGGCGGAAGGGTGAGATTTTAGCTCTGAGCTCTGACCTCTTGGCTTTCTGTTTTACATTGGTTCTGTGTTTTTTATTTTAATAAGACGGTTGGTTACATATACACCTAGTTCCTGGTCCTCATGCCTTATATACCTTTCTGCCCTCACTTCCTGGGATTAAAGGCGTGAGTCACCATGCCTGGCTATTCCCAGTGTGGCTTTGAACTCACAGAGATCCAGACAAATCTCTGCCTTTGGAATGCTAGGATTAAAGGCATGTGTGCCACCATTTTCTGGCCTCTATATCTAGTGGCTGTTCTGTTCTCTGACCCCAGATAAGTTTATTAGGGTGAACAATATTTGGGGGAACACAATATCACCACATTGAAACTAAGAACAAAAGCATACATGAAAGCGTTCCATTTCTCTCCAACAGGAAAATTTCAAATTCAAGTCATTGAACATTAAGAAAAATTTAAAAACTCAGGAAGAAATTTCAAGGACACTTCTAATTCTTGAAAAAGTTTTTAATTTTTTTTAACACCCCTTTATGTGGCAGTTAATGATCCATCTTTAATTTTCATCTGGATCACTTTTCCTTTGGTAGTGAATTTTCTTTACCCTCTTGTTTTGGAATGCATAAGCAAAACAAACAAAAAAATCATAATACTAGTTAACATTAAAACACAACAACACCGCAATACTGTGTTTTAGCCCTTGAAACATTCATTTTCCTTACAGGGGCATATTTTTCTCACACCACCACTACTTGAGAACATACACTAGTATGTATGTGTATTTTGCATGCTAAAAGAAAGTATTATGATTGCATTCATTTTAATCTCCCCAGGGTGTCTAAGCATTTGGAATATTAGTGGCAGAATTATGTAGTTGTTAAGGAATTCCCCATAAAAAGAATCTAGTGTCATTGAAAAGCAAATAATTTTTGTCCCTCTATTACGTAAGTAAATAAGGCCTCTGGGCAACAGAAATAGTTTTCCTGACATCTAGACAGTAAAGCATATTTACTACATAAGGCATTTTTCTCCAGTTTTCACAAAATTTTAAGAATGTTAGCTATGTACTTCCTAAACCATAGGGGATTAGGAACTAGAAGGGGGTAAAGGATAGACTCAAGTAATAGAGCAGGCACTTCAAACATGACAAGGATTAATAGCTAACAGAAAAATACTAAGAGCCAACCAATAAAATACAGTAATTTGAGATAACATGGAGATTTATCAAAAGGGAAAACTCCAAACTTTTTAACTGGCCACAAGCACACTGATATTATATTTATCCTAGTACCTCAGTCATAACAGTAATTATATTTAACATGCTATTTATGCTGTTTAAAGAAGCAGAGACAAGTCAACTATAATTATAGATGTTTTCATTGAAGTTTGAAAATATAAAATTTTGGATATTTAAAAAATTTGATTTTTCAGGGCACAGTCACAGAGGAACTGGTATTCAACACCAGTATAATGTTAAAGTTTGAATGAACTTTTCAATGCAATAAAAGTTATCAAGAATGGAAGCTCGCCGGGCGGTGGTGGCGCACGCCTTTAATCCCAGCACTCGGGAGGCAGAGCCAGGCGGATCGCTGTGAGTTCGAGGCCAGCCTGGGCTACCAAGTGAGCTCCAGGAAAGGCGCAAAACTACGCAGAGAAACCCTGTCTCAAAAAAACCAAAAAAAAAAAAAGAATGGAAGCTCAAAGACTAGGAGAAATGTTATCTAGTAGAGAGGAATCCGCCATTGAGAATGTTCATTGAGTAATGTGCAGTTATGTTAACTGTCTTGTGATAAACAATTAGTACTCCTTACAGACAGAAAACCATAGTTGAATGAATCCCAAAGATATTTAAATCAGAAGATCTTACTGGGTACTAATTCCTCTTTCCCTTTTGGCTAGAGTCTGCACATTTTTGTCCCACAAGAGCCTTTGTTTAAAAAACACATCCATTCTATTTAGTCAGTCTACTCCTGCATGCCAATATAGAAGGGAGACCATTTCTTGCCTTGTATTTTTTGCAAAGGGCAGGGAGGAAAGCTTGGGCAGGATGGTGGCATCTAACTTTAAACATTTCAGGAGGCAGGAAAAATGGTTCACTGTCCATTCATGGACATCGTTGGTCAACAATCATTGACTAGCAGATGAACCCAGTCCATAGTAAACATTCACTAGCCAGCTGTTTGACTTGGCTGTTTTTGCCTCCAATGAGACACCCTGGCTGCTGAACACTATTATACCATCGTCCTCCCCACAGTATGTGCGCCCAATTCTGTCCTGCAGGATACTGGCAAACTGTATCACAGAAAATCAGATAACACACGGCCTAATGTTTGTTATTCAAATGACAGGAATGTTCCATGGATAGATCCCACTGGCCAAGCTTAAGACTTATATCTGATACAGATACCTGAAGCCACTGGTAGCCAATCCTCTAGTCTTGCTGATTAGTCCTAACATGGAAGCAATTGACTCATCTGCTGACAGCCTAAATCAACACATAATTTATGACTCAAACATCTGTGATTATTTTAATAGCCATTTCATACCTTCCTATTCTATTTATCATAATAGGAACATTTAAAGTGAGAACCCTCCACTAAGGGGAAGGGATGTGAAGTTCTTTTATTTTTCTTTCTAGTTGCAGTATCAGGGACTGAACCTTTTCCTCACATCTGCTCAAGCTTTCTAACATATTCCCGGTGGGATCAAAGTTCTTCAAGAAATATCTTAGTTAAGAAATCGGTGGTCTGCCCTTTTTAAAAGGTCCGTATTGAAAAATTCCAATATTTCTCCTTGGACTCATTAGTTTGGAAATATATTGAACTCCTTTTTTCACCATTCAGAATTACCATTATGTCTTAAATTACAACTTGTCAATTGACTGTACTCAAAAGACCTTCAAAGATCAACACGCTCTTCATTATCTTGCTATTACTAACATTGTAAGCTGAAAGCTAAGCCATCAATCCGGCAAGTGTGGTTTCCCCTCGATAATCAGGCCAAGGATTCTTGACTTAGAGAGGCAGTCTGTAACTTTGTTCGGAGCCGGCCTGAGACCAGCGTTCAGCACACCCTGCTGTAGGGGTGAGTGTATTTCCAACATTACTGACAGTGAATGAGGACAGGCAGATGTTACAAGCACACTGCTGTGAATGAAGGAAGAGCATAGAAGAAGTGAGAAGAAAAAATGAATAAACACTTCAGTTCTTTCACCTCACTGAAGAAGCTTCCGCTGTAAAACTGAAATGCTTTACGACAGACCACAGACACAGAGAACACGGAGGTAAATACTGCCTGGGGAGGTGTGGGTTCAGACCTTCCCATCTGCAGCTGCTATCAATTTCTCTACCCTAATGTGACCAGAAATCTTAGTTTTCAATAGAGAAATATGAGTCGCGAAGGAATCCTCATTGGCCACCCCTGCATTCCCTCTCCATCCTTACTCGCCTCCTGATTTTTTCTTGCTCTTCTAGCATTTGAATGTCCCCATACTTTGTAGCCTGGCCTACTAGGAAGTTAAAATAGCAAACTTAGCTAGTTTCAGGGCCTGGGAGAGATTCTGGGGCTTTCAGAGAGCCTCCGGTGGATTACAAAAGGCACCTTTCCCCTCCTAAATGTTATTTAAACAGGATGCCATCATTGTGTGGGATTTACACCCTTACAGAAAATCTTGATTCATCCTTCTAGCCATGCAGGGAGCTGAGTGAAGGACAAAGGCCTCTTAAAAATGGTTAACCTGATCATTTGCAAAAAGACATGTGCAAAGCATCTAGGCTAGGATCCCTTTGGCAACTAAATTGTCAGGGACTAATTTATTACTGACAAGAACAGAATGTGCTGTGGAATCTCCCAAACAGCAGCATGCTCAATGAGCCAGAGGCTTGCTATAAATATCTTCTCCAGGACTGCACTTCCTAGAGTCTCAAATTATTCTGAAAGCATCATGGTCTGCGGGAGGGGAAAAGGGTGGGTGGGACTGGACACTAAGGTAGCAGGGACCAAGGAGGCAGGATTTTCTTGGGATTATTCTAGAGACTAACTTTATCAAGTGACCTCTTATCAACTTGGTTTCATAGAAATAAGTAATGGGGGAAACCTCTGAATTCCTTTCCAGATCTGGAGTTGGACACTGACCACACTGATTACCTATACATGGAACTCTGGCAACGGATGCTCTGCAAATTAACCTCGGCCCATTCAAAGGAAAAGAAAACAGAATGTTGGGGGGGCGGGGCATGAGGGGCCATGAGAGATGGCTCAGTGAGTAAAGGATCCTGCTACGAAGCCTGGCAATCTGAGTACCCCAAAGTCTCCAGGACTCCCATGATAACAGGAGAAAGGACATCCCCAGGTTTTCCTCTGACCTGCACATCCGTGATGTAGTGTGTGCACGTGCATACATGGAGAGTAAATTTTAAAAACTCAGAGAAAACCGAATTTGGAAAGGGCAAGCCAAGGCTGTTTTCAAATAGCCTTCTGATTTTCATGCCGACTCTAAACTCCGAAAGTTCTTCCAGCACAGTGAGTATGGCAACATGAAGAGTCAAAAATATGTTAAAAAAAAAAATAGACACTAATTAGGACTTCACTTTTCAAAGCACAAATTCTTACAATGTTTATCACGTTTGTTTATTCACTGTGGGGTGTGTGTGTGTGTGTGTGTGTGTGTGTGTGTGTGTGTGTGTGTGTGTGTGTGTACCACAGTGCATGTGTGGAAGTCAAAGGACAACTTCCTAGAGCTGCTTGATGCTCTCCTTCCTTCCTTCATTAGGTCCCAGAGATGGAATTCACGTTGTCAGGCTCAGCAGCCAATGCCTTTACCTGCTAGGCTATGAAAAACAAATTCTTTAGAAGATGTGGTAATAACCTACATTCCTCTTCCCTAGACCTCTCCATGTTTCACATTCCACCTTCTTTTTTAGATCCCTCTAAATGTGTTCCCTTCTCCAGATAGTAAGCGTCTCTAAGGCAGGATCCATATTTTATTAATGTTTTTATTCTTCATAGTGCATTGCCCAGAAGGACACTCAATACATGTGTGTTGAGTTAAATCTTGTTTTCAGTGTCTTGAGTGGGGTACATACTTAGCAGAAGCAATCAATCAAACTAAACTTAGCTTTTTATAAATCTGAATTTTAGATAAGCCTCCAGACATCTTCTTTGTAAGTGACATAGAAGACAATGATTTCATGTAGAACGTGCAAAAAGAATCTAATAAAACAGACATGGTGTTTTGTTTTGTTTTTTAGTCTACAAAGAAAGAAAAATATCACCCTCAGTATATAGTCTTCTTTTCCTGTTATTCTTTCCTGTATTTATCCACCCATCATACATTTCATGAGTCAAACACCCAAGTCTCTGTTTATATATTCCTGTGAGTAAGATAGGCATGCTCCCTGCATTCATCAACAGTGTTTACAGTCCAGAGAGAGGGAAGCTCACATGTAGACAGCAGATAGTTGTGGTCATATTGATATGCATGCAGATGATTGACAGTGTTGTCTGAATGAATGCTGTAAATCTTTGGAAGCCTCCCAGGAGAGGTAATAGCTGAGGTATTTCTGAGCCAGTCAGAGCAAGGGCCTTGGAGAATCATAGTCAAAAGCAGTAGCATTTTATCTTATTTAAGAAACTGGATACAGTACTTCTGTCAGATACTCTTCTAAGCACTTTAAAGAAAGTGTCTTCCTTTACTTGAACAACTTAAGAGGGATCCATTATTGCCCTCAGGTTGCACATCAGGAAAACAAGGCTTTCTCCAATCTGGATTCAAGAGTCTCAAAACCAAGTGAAAAAATTCATTCAGTTTTCTAGAAGGCTTTCAGACAATTGCAGTGAGACCACTGGAATCTATTTTTGTTTAACCTGGAAACTATATTTTTTTTTCAAAGATGCATTATATTAGTATATTTCTGTTTCATGGGGTAAATGGCCGAGATTTCCTATTTTCTATCATTTTTCAAATGAGATAAATTGGGTGTCCCAAAGGGCAAGAATTCTGTGTCCTAAAAACATTTTTTTCTGGACTTAGATGCTTCACATGAGTTGAAGAAGAATACGCTGTGGCCATCGCTTTTGTGACTTTGGACTAGCATGCTGATAATGTCTGTTTGCCCCCTTCTAAGCTGAATGCTTAATAGAGAAGATGGGACATGATCAGGGTCAGAAGACACACCTTCCCCATGACTTTGCCTATCTGTGCTAGGTCCAGATCTCCATTATTCTTTTTTCTCCGAGTTTTACATTTAAAAATCAGTTCTGTCCTGATTAGCATTGTTCACACACCCAGGCTGTTTTTCAGCTGCAGGCCTGGTAAGCACTTGGAGCTGCTTTGGTTGATGTTGCCGTTGGTCAGTGATGGTGTGTCTCTCCTTCCATCCCACGTGTACTGTCTCTTGAACTCTCACCTTTGTGGTGGATGACATCACTCAAGTGAAAATAACTCTCCAAGCTAATGGTAAGACAGTCTTTAACTTAAAGAATATGGTCTGATTCGCAGAAGAACTTGGGATTGAGAGTATTGCCAAAGCATGACATTAGCACGTCCTCCTGTTTCCCTTCCTCTTATTTCTCATTCCTTGTAATTCATGAACAATGACACTGAGAATTAATCTTCCACATAGAGCCTATCAACAGGAACATTACTGTGGGAAGAGGGCATCTGTGTTTTCATAACCTTTATACTCACTCATCAGATGCATGCAGACAGGCATGCTTTTTAATTGTCAAGTAGAAAGTTGGTATTCTTTTTTCAGGGATGGACTAATTTGTTTTGAAAATCAGAGTCTGAGGAGGCAAACTATGGAACTGAAGCAGATCATTTGCCGGGCTGAAACAATTATTTGTTGCCATGGGGACAAGGGCATTTGCCTTCTTTCTTCTTCCTGTGTTACCTGGGACTCTGTGACGCCCCTCTCTCCTGCACTGGCTGTCAAAATCTCAGGGTAAAGGAAAACCACTAGGAACTCAGTAGATTTAAACCCCCAAAACCATTTGGTCAGGCCACTTACTTTTCACAAAGAGGTAACTAAAAAAGCTTCAGAGCAGCATAGTTCCAGGACCAGAGATAAATGAAAGAGTTATTAAAACTTACTGAGAGACACTCTCTTCACTGTACTTTACCCAAGCAGCCACATGTTGATTCTCAGCTGAGATATCATCAGCCCTGTGTTGGCTTGTCCTACAACCAAGCAAGCATTTGCAGAAGGATTAAGAACATTCAAGACCTTACATGAAGTCTGAGCAGCTCCTTGACTTGGGCACTGACTTTGCCACCAAGTTCCCTGGGCTGGATAGCTAGTGTCATCTTCTTCATAAAGCCCTTCCCAGACCCGGACACAAGTGGAGAGGAAAGTAGATAGAGCAGCAATCCAGCATCAGTTCCATCATCTCCTCCCTGCCAAATTTCCCTTCTACCTTCATCTTCAGTTCAAGAGGAGTCTCTCAAGGAGTATAAAGGAAAAATTCATTAGCAGAGAAAATACATATTTCCAAGACTTACTGTGTATCTCCCAAGAGAAGAGATTGGCAGTAGTTAATGTCTAATGAAGGAGATTGCTCTTTGCACTGTACTATATCAAGACCACTGTAGAAATGAGTCATAATTCAATTCCTGGGTTTTATATATGTTTATAGCTTTACAACATGCTGATTTCTCTAGGCAAGCAGCTTGTTTAACACTAACAATGAGAGAAGGAAGAAAAGAAATCTACACACAAGCAAGTTAGTTTCGTTCTTACCCATCAAGGAGCAGCGTCCTGACTGGAACACACTATGTTCATGAAATTTATTCTACTCTTGGTTTCTTTTGTTCCCAAAATAGAGGGAGGGGAGAGGGAGAGAGGGAGGGAAGGAGGGAGGGAGGGGGAAAAGGAGAGAGAGAGGGAGAGAAGGAGCTATCAAGGACTTTCTGAATCTAAGATACAGATGACCTTCTGTCACTGAAATTCAAAACTAAGCAAAACAGGTTAACATAAACAGATTTAAATTTCCCAAAGGCTCGTGGCTTTGCAAATTTAGTCCTAGCTCTCTTGCAAATTTTTCTGTAATTTTGAAGAGTGCAAATGCATTGCTCACATAATTTGGCTTTCTTTTCCTAGCTATAAAATTAAGAGGTCAACCCAGGGTGTCTCTAAATTGCCTCTTATTTCAAACACAGTCCATGACTTAAGCAATCGCTAACATCATCCAGCAGTCGTTTTTATGAGAATCTATCCCTTTGAAGAGAATACATGTAGAAAGCTACTGTGTTTTAGAGCCCTGCATTTCCTCTCATTTCATGTCTCTTTACATATCTCCCTCCCTTTGTTAGTATTTGGTTCTCTTAGGAATCTTAAAGAGTTAAAAATGGAAAAGTGACCTGCCTAAAGCCACACAAAGTACCTCGAGATGAGGCTGAGATTTTGTGTTGTTTTCTTTCTTGGGTTTCTTTGTGTACTCAGTGTGGCCTTATTTAATGGTGTCATATTTATCACCATGACAAGACTTTCTGAGCTCCTGCTGGGTACACAGCAAGTTACCAGACCCCATGGGAATTTAAGCAGCTCACAAAAGGCATGACTCCCACACATGCGCCTTCAATCTAAAATGATCCCATCTGTTTGACCTTTCAAGTATAGTACATAAACATCTTTGTCCTTCACTGAGTAAATAATACCACCATAGTTCAACTTAAATGGTGTATACAGATGAAGAGAGCGAAATTCAAAAGAAGTTAATTTGTCCAAGACCATATGTCTGAAAATTAGTAGGATTAGAAATAGAACATGGGGTCTTTTTCTTTCTCAATTTAACTTGATTCAAACCATTTCACTTCTGAGCTGCATGGTACAAAGGGAAAAACACCCTCAAAATCCTACATAACTCATAATCATTTTTCTTCACACTAAAATGAACTGCCCCGGCCTTAAAGACTGCAGAAGATCCATTTGCTATCCAGCCTGAGAATTTTACAATCTGTCCTAGGAGAAACTGGATTTCATCCATTAGTTGAGTATTTTCTATGACTAGATAAATTGAGGAGATCCAAGTCTCCAAACCTGGGTCAGTCTATAGCAAGTAGCTGAGATGCCTCTTTCATATGAGACCTTATCCAGAGGCTTCTCAGAACTATCTAAGGAGAATCTGAGAAAGACAGACAGCCTCAAGAGTAAGAGACAGCTGCAGATAGAGAATGTTTTAGTAATGCTGCCGTGGTCCTCTCCCTGTGAGTCTGAATAGGACCAGGAAGGACCATAGGCACACACGATCCCTGGGATTGCCATACTGAGTGTTCTTCCCCTTAATGGGACTGAAGTAATTGGCCCTAGATCCTTAGCTTGTAAAATGTAAAATACAGGTCTGATCTTCTCATTACATCACACTTTCTTCTGGAGTAGCATGAATCATCAAAATCTGCCTACATACATTTTCTACCCACTGGTTTGCGTTCTACGTTCTGGAAAACATTTAGCCTCTCCATGGGCTTCTCCTTTCACAAAACAGCTTCTGGGAATTGGAAAGTAGCTGGTAAGGTGCATGGACTTTTCTTGCTGACCATGGGTAGGTCAAGTCTCCTCACCAACCTGATCATTCTCTCATAAGCTTGCCACTGTAAGATAGTCTATGATTGTTACTGAATAGAATTACCACAGTGACATGATGTCTTCCTGATCTTTTGGATCATCTAAATACTATAAGAGCTCCTCGTTTTCTCAAAGTTTGATGAGAAAAAGCATCTCAGCATCACCCTTCAAAGGCTCTAAGGAGGTGGGAAGGTCCCCACTGCCCAACAGGCTATGAAAATGAATTCTCTAGGGCTCAGATCGCTGCCATCCTAATGTAAATGTTATGATAAAATATTAAACTGTATGTATAATTGATGCTTACTTTATAGTAATTCAGGGTCTTGCTTGTTTGAATAAAATTTATTATTTACAATCCTCTGCTAGAAGTGATTCCCCTTTGCTGGTGTCTTTTCCTAATTGCTTGAACTGCATGCCACATTTTCCTAGGCAGCATTTAAATAATTATTACTCTCCTCTTAGTTCAGAGTCTGCATCTAAGACTCTGTTAGATAGTATTATAAATACCCTTTGTGCATAATGAAAAATGTCCACATCTAGGTTGCTCAGGGATATTTACAGGAAGATAGATTCAGCACGTATTAGTAGAGGAAGCTGGCGGCGGACTCTGCATACCTGACCTCCGCTCAAAGACCCGTTCTCTGTGGAAGCATTGAAGGGTATGTGTAAGAATGGTATATATGATTTATTCAATTTAGAAGTTTTAATAAAATGGGAAACTTTGTGATAACTTACATTGAAAATCAATATAAATGCTGGAATGTATATTCCTGACACCACTGCCTTTGTGGGGGAAAGGGGAAGTTAGATAAATCGATGTTATCTGCCAAGCCAATCTGCTTCAATAAAGGAACACACCAGAAGACAGTGCCTCCCCATCATTGAGGCCACATAATTCACAGAGTCAGGAGATATCTTCTTTTGTTTTGGTTTTGGTTTTGGTTTTTCGAGACAGGGTTTCTCTGTGTAGCTTTGCGCCTTTCCTGGATCTCGCTCTGTCAATCAGGCTGGCCTCGAACTCACAGAGATCTCCCTGACTCTGCCTCCTGAGTGCTGGGATAAAAGGCATGTGCCACCACCGCCCGGCAGGAGACATCTTCTGAACTGGGTTCTTTTCTATCATACAATAGCCATCTACTGGGTGTCTTGTTTTTGTTTTGTTTTGTTTTTTTAATCATTGTTTCTAACTTTTTGGTAGATAACGCAATGATTAATAATGATTAACATGCATGTAATTCTTCCCAAAGAAACATATATTTAGGATAAGACATTTAATTTTACGACCTTAATAAGTCAACTGAAAGATTGTTTATTATAAAAAGTTAAATATTCCTTAATAATTCTGAGATTTGTATACATAGAAGTCATAGTTATTAAACTATGTATTGTTTGATCATTAAAAATTGTAAAATAAAATCAAGTAATTTAATTATATGAAATGCACACAAAAGCCATTTCATAGCTCATTTTCTCAGCATTTCTGCTTTCTACAGGATAAAAGCATTAATCATATGTTGCTATTTATTTAACAAGCACATTGAACCACATGACATCTATTGTTGTCTTTTTTGTAGTTTTTAAATATCCACTGTTAATTAGTTTTTTGCATGACAATTATTCCAAAGATTCTTAAGGGCAAATACCATTTCTTTTCCTGTTACGAAAACCTTTACGTACAACTCCTTTATATCTGTCGATTTGCCTACATGCTCACTATGAGCCAGGAATTGAGGGTACAGTCTTTGTCCTTTAAAAAGCTCCCAATAAACGATATCTACAAGAGAAAAAGGCACTGACCTGAGACAGCAGAGAAGAAGTCTAGGAAGACTGTGCAGAGGGTGTTTGACTCATTCCTGAAAGAACAAATGGGTGGGAATTATCATCGCAAGGTAAGAAAGGGAGGCAGAAGAGTTTTTACACACAGTAGGCACTCAGTAGATAAGTGTCTCTTTATTCTGGAGTAAGTAGTATTGACTAGAAATCAGTGACCTTTCCACACCACCAATCTATGGGTCCATGACTTTTTAAGCCATTAGTGGCCTATTTATGAAGTGAATGCCTCGGGCTTTCTTTTCTCCAAAGAGTGCTTCTCCTTACTTAGTAGAACAGAAAACAGGGCTGCTTTTTAAGGAAAGACAAAAAGAAAACCCTCAGGCTTGATGTTCATATATTCTAAAAGTAAGAAACACTGATTGGGGTATATTTTTAAATGAAGAGAAGGGAAGGATGAATGAGTCCATCTCACTGCTAATAGCCAACCATCATTAACAAGATAGTATACTTCTTTCCAGTACTTTTCATTTTGAAAAATGTGGGGTTGTTATTTTTACATAGTTGCAATAGAATTAAGAGTGAATAGTAAGAACCAGAACACACAGTACTACACATCGTATGATAAGATGTTCAGAATTGTTAATTAACTAGGGCAGTGTTACTAATGTCTTAGGACTTGTTCCTGTCACAGGGAATCAAAATTAAACATTTATGTTAGCAGTGACACAAAGCAGCATTACACACTGGTTTCATCAGTTCTATTTGGCCCTGTATCTCAAGAAGATTTCATGAGATGAACATTGAATCCATTGTTTTATTGTTGGAGCCTGAGGTCACTTTCAAACTTTCAGTGTGCTCTTAATAGTTCTACAGTGAGTACATTCGTTAAGATTTCTCCACTGCATGCTTCAGACGCACTTTAGGACCAAGTGTTAGGATTAGAATGAGTGAATCCAGAGATAGGATGTTTTCAAAGCCTATAATACATACTGCCAACTAGGTTTTCTTTTTTTAATCGAGACAGGGGCCCATTAGGTTTTCAAAAGAACTGATCAACTTTTATTCTTGGCCATTATGAATGGCTTCTGGCAGTTGTCATCACTGATGTTTTTTCACTGCAATTTTTGTTATATTGATCACTTTTAGAAAAAATAAATGCTGAAATTGTCATTTGTTTGATCAGAGTGAGGTTACTCCTTTGCAGCCAGTTTTGGAGAATTAAGACTGAATTAACATTGGTTCTAAGTCAATAGCTCAGACTATCTGCACAGAACAAATGCTTCTGGGTCTCAGCTAATTGCAACACCATTGCTCTTTGTACACTGTTCTAAAATGGAAACTAAAGAAATCCCTTTGATGGTAGATTAGTGATGAGAATCCTTCTGGGAGCTGTCTCCATGCTTCAGAAGGACTCTGGACCAGGTATCCCAGACCTTCTGAGGATCATTTGTACTAGAATTTCTAAGCTCAACTTCCACACTCATCTCTTTGTGCATGTTTTTTTTTTTTGGTTTTGTTTGTTTTTTTTTTTTTTAAAGACTCCATGATCCATGAAAGCTAGTCCTGTCAGAAAAACTGCAGCGCCTGGAAGATGAGGACCACTTCCCTCAACCAGTCACCCTAGGTACAGAAGAGAGTGGCAGTCTGGGACA